TCACATTGAATCTGTAGAGGGTTTCTGAGGCTGTAAATCTGGAAGAGAGCAGAAGGTGAATCAGTAGGTGGGCTTGAACGTCAGCCTTGTACTTAGCTGTCCAGTGCTCACCCTACAGCACCCCCTGGCATCCAGTGCATCTCATTCAGCCTCTGTTGACCGGCTGTGTGCCTACTCTGTCAGTGTGTCCACTTGGGGGGTGGAGGACAGGAGGCCCCGTCTGTCTTGGAACCTCCTACCCCCTCCTAGAGAGGGATGGGGGCTGAGCTAAGCTGGGACTTTCGCTCCCAGATTGTAGATGAACTGAATGCTGGGAGCCACCAAACATCAATGACTTCTTGACTGTGAGCCCCCCTGTCAGGGAGCAGTGAGAGCTCTGGGATCGAAGTCTCCCCTGCCATGCGGGGCCCTGGGCTCCATTCCCAGCCAGTGCCCCTCCCCTCGTGGGCAGCCACCACCCTCCCTCCTGGAGGCGTGTGTGCTGATGGGCTACTGAGCAGGTTCAGTGGCGCTTGCAGACTAAGATGGACTGGGACGAAAGACGTGGAGCTCTACCTCCCAAAGTCACAGCACTCAGGTGTGGGCTGATCCTGTGCACGGGGTCAGTGAGTCGGTGCCCAGAAGGTGGGGATGCCAGGGTTCCTTTCGCCCTCTGGAGAGTGTCCTGACCCTGGAACCACTCAAAGCAGAGACTGCTCTGGGGTCAAGGTCAGGTGGGGTGTCTTAACTTGGTTGCTGGTTACAGTCCTGCCCCATTGGAGTCAACTCTGGGCTGTAGCTTTTCTCATAACCTTTTGCTGCTTCCTTTCCCCTCTGTTGTGTGTCTTCATCAGACCCTCACAGTTTCCTTGGGCTCCGTCAGTCTTGTCCCTGGGACTGGCCCCTGCTGGGCGGACTGGCGTATTAGCCCAGTTTGGGGTTATAGCTGTGTTTGCTGGAGTCATTTCTCAAGAAATTAATGACTTTAGCCATTTCCTAAGAAAGGTGTCTGGGGAATCTCACATGCTGGGAAACCCGTTCGTCAGCCCTCACACTTGGTGGGTAGTTTGGTTCGGTGTAATATTCTGGTGCGAGAGTTCCTCTCACTTCAGAAGGACTCCGAAAGCACTGCTTCCTCGTTGTCTGGTGTCCTTGGGTTCTCGTTCTGCTGCACATGACCTGGTTTTCCCCAAATGCATTTAGAGGCTGTTTTATGACATTGTTTGGGGGTCTTTTTGTTGTTCATTGTGTTGGACTTTACTTTCCTCACAGGAAACTAAAAAACAGGGATTTTCTGTGTGTTTCCTTCCCTTGATTTACTTTCGCTTTCTGGGATGCTTATGACTTCTCTCTGCATAAATCTTTCATCTGGAAACTTGAGGTGGAACCCAGAGGAACACACTCCTGGAACTGAGTCCTGGGCTCAAGGGGATGTCTGGGTTCAGGTGACATGGTGGCCCACACTGCCCTGGATCAGCTGGACTAAACAAGTTCCAGATGACAGGCCACGCCTCCACCCCTGCCCCCATTCCTGCAGCTCTCTGCGCCTCCTCTTCTCCACACCCCTGGGAGAGGCCAGTATGTTGCAGCGGAGGGAGGTGACCTGGAGCCTAAACCAGCCAGTGCCGCCACCAACAGCTGATGGATGCCTTTCCCCTGTCTTTTCAGTGTGCAAGGAACCCCCTTACAAAGTGGAGGAGTCGGGTTACGCAGGCTTCATCATGCCCATCGAGGTTCACTTCAAAAACAAGGTAGGACTCTCCAGTGTGGAGTGTGGGGAGATGCTCTGACCACGTGTGAGCTGGGTGGGCCAGGCGGGTGGTGACTGGTGGCTTTCCTCTCTCTCTGGGGAGGGACGTGCTGAGAACAGGAGGTGGGAGTGCAGAGGGATTTGACTTCTCCTGAGGAGCCCTGGTGACCCAGTGGCTTAGCACTCTGCTGCTTAAACCCAGACAGCAGTTCCAAAGGAGAAAGGCTTCCGTACAACCCTAAGTGGCAGTTCTACTCTGTGAGTTAGAGTCGACTCTGACAGCAACAGTGAGGATGCACGTGGTCTCTGAGGAGGCCCACTCACTGTGGCCCATGGGGCAGAAGTGACGAGTGTTCCATGGGGGGGATTGTGGGTCAAACGTAGGACCTCTGCCAGTGGGCTCTTCAGTGGCCTGGGGCAACACTTACACAGCTGGCTGCAAAGACCTAGCTTGTAGGAGTCCTTGTCGACAGTGCTGGCGGGTCGGTCTGACTCACAGCAACCCTGTGGGAGGTTTCAGATCGTGGCTAGTGGGTTTGAGGTTGTTACAGTGCTTACCCTGCAGCAGCATATCGGAGCGAGCTGTAGATGGTACAGATAGTTAGGTGCTAGACTCCTAGCTGAACCCACTCAGAAGCGCCTTGGAAGACAGGCCTGGCAGTCTGCTTCTGAAAGGCCACAGCCTCGATAACCCTTTGGAGCACTTCTGCTCAGCACGTGGGGGGTCTAACAGCAGCAGCAACTACAAAGCCACCAGCCGCTTCTCGGGAGAAAGGTGTGGCAGTCTGCCTCCAGAAAGCTTGATGCCCTCGACAGCCCTGGGGGCCAGTTCTCTGTTCGGTATGGGGTCAGTGTGACTGCATCAGCTTGAAGGCAGTGGGCTTAGTGGTTTGGTATTATTTATAGGAAAACAATTGAATGCAATGAAAAGGTTCCTGATGGTGATTGGGTGGTAGGATTGCAGGAGATTTTTACTTCCTTTTTCTCTGTTTCTAAATATTTACAGCAAACATACATGATGTTTATTTTCATCCCAGTAATTAAAGTACAAACAGTGCCCCCACTGCCCCCCCCGACCTAAGGCTGATGTTGTGGCTCTGAGGGGGCCTGGTGTGGTAGCAGTGCTGGCCGAGTTCAGGAAGGAAGTTCCGAGGAGGCCTGGGTGTGCTCCCCACTCCCTTAATGAATCCCCTTGTTCTGCACATGGACCACAGGGAGCCTGGTGGCCTTTCCTAGGTCACAGAGCGTGGCACCTCCGTGCTTGCTCTGCAGGAGGGAGGCACACAGCCCCACCATGCAGTGGGGTCTCAGGTGCCAGGTCTGTGGGAAGGAGGGACGTGGGCCCACAGTGTAGTGGGGCTCTCAGGTGCTGGTGTGTGGGAGGGAATGATGCAGGTCCATGGAACAGTGGCGTCTTGGATGCTGCGTCTAGGGGCGTCAGGGCACAGTGAGGTCTCCCGTGCTGGGTCAGGGTAGGGTCCTGCATAGTGGGATTTTGTCATGCTGGTTATGGGGGGTTCCCTATCACAGAAGCCAGCCCTGCTGAGGCTGCATGGAGTCAGGGCCTGAGGGATGGGCTGAGTGGCTCTTGCTGAGGAAAGAGCTGAGTGGGGTTTCACACTGAGTGTATAGGGTCTCACACTGAAAGTCAGGGCCTGAGGGATGGGCTGAGTGGCTCTTGCTGAGGAAAGAGCTGAGTGTGTCTCTGAGGACTCTCCTTGCCGCTACAGGGCGGGGGCTGCAGGGAGCAGGCCTTCCCAAGCCACATTCCTGCAGAACTGGCCCTCAGTGCAGAGGCCGTTGTCAGGAGGTCCTGACTGGGGTGGCAGGCGGATGGCTCAGAGCCGTAGGTCTTATCCCTGCTGTCTAGATCCGTGTTCTGCACGTGAGACCCTGAGGCACGGGCAGCCAGGGTGGGAGCCCTAGGCACCTGGACAGGACTGCTCCTCTGCTGCCTCTTATTATATCAGGGATGGGGTTTGGGGTGTGGTCCGGTTGGAGGTTATGAGAGTGAGGCCTGTGCCCTCTGCTCATGTGGCAGCATGTGAGGCTCGAGGCCTTCCCAGGACAGGTGGCCCATGGTAGATTCCTCGCCCCGTGTGGGAGACCCTGTGCACCTCATGTGCAGCCATCAATTGGCTGTCAGCTGCTTTGGTGCTGAGTAGGTGTAAGAGGAGCTTCCGGACTGAGACCAGGGAGCAAGGCCTGGCAATGGACTTCTGAAAATCAGCCCATGGATTGCAATCAGACTTGGGGATGGCACTGAACCATTGTGCATGGGGTGGCATGAGTCGAGGGCTGGCTTGCCAGTAGCTGACCACAGCACCCCCATCAGCTGGACGCAGGCGTAGAGGCAGGGATGGGGCAGAGCACAGTGATGCGCTTGTTCACCCATGATTCTTGCCTCTACTTATTTGGGGGATCCTCAGGCTGGTCATAGGCAGGCAACCCCCAGGTGCTAGAGTCCAGACCACCTGTTCCCGGTGGCAGAAGCCCACAACCTCACAACCCTCCCATGAGCACTGAGTCCAGACGTCAGGCCCAGGCCCAGGTCTGCCCAGACCGACTCATAGCAACCCCAGGTGAGAGGAGAACTATAGAAGTAGGCTTTCATCTTGAAGGAGTCGTGCTGGTGCAGTGGGATAAGCATTGGACTGCTCACCAAAAGTTGGCAGTTCAGACCCACCAGTCACTGTATGGGAGAAAGATTGACAGCCTTGAAAACCCTATGGGGTCAGAATTGATTCCACAACAGTAGGTGATTTGTTTCATCTTTACTGCAGCAGTTCTCCAGGTCTTTCTTACGCAGAGTAGCTGACTGGCTGTGAGTCACCAGGGCTCCTGGAGGGGTATGGTTTTCCTGTGGTTAAGCGCACCCTTTTCCAGGGTGTTGGAGCTTTGAAATCCCAACTTGTGTTTTCATTTGAACCCTGTTGGTGAATGGCAGATTTCCTGTTTAAAGGCAACAAGTCACATGTTCCTGCGCGCCCATGGGGGCTGTTTGGCTGCGAGCCCTTCTCAGGTTCTCGAGTTCTTGTTCAAGGCAAGCGCCCTGCTTCCTGGACACTGGGAATCTGCCTCTCCTGGTGGTGGTTTTGCCAGTAACCCCTCTTCCCAAGCCCCTAAGTTTCAGATGGCCCTGTAAGAGAAACTGGGAGGTGCAGCCAGCCCAGAATACTCTCTACCCCCTGCTCCACCGTACTGAGTGCTCAGTGGGTCTGGATTTTGTCTCAGAACAAGCGCCACAGGAAGGTCACCTCCCCAGGCATGGGCGATGGTCGGGGGTCACAAGGTGACTGGCAGAATGGGAATTCGAACCCATGGCTCAAATAGCCAAATCAGCCATGATGTGGCCTAATAGCCCCTCACGCATTGTAGGTTTTACTCATGTCCAGGTGCTCTGATGGTGCAGTAGTCCAAGTCTGGGCTGCTCACTGAGAGGCTGGCAGTTCAAACCCACCCACTGGCTCCCTAGGACAAAGACCTGGCCAGAGACTACAGTCACACAGGGTCACGCATCAGCAGGACAGGTGACAGGCTTTGTCGTCGTGTATATTGGACCACATGGGTTGTGTTGTTGGGATCTTGTATTATTATAGGTGCTCCGTTACCTGTGTTGTGTTCTGCAAATGTGGCGTAAATGCTTTCAGAAAGCTTGTAAAGATCAGACACTTGGAGAAAAATGAACATTGCTTAGTTGGGAAACCAACCTTATATCAATCTGCTGGTTTGCACTGCTGCTTGAAATAGGGTCTTTCTGAATGGATCTGCTGATGAAGCTTCTCCCTGATATGAATGAGCTGCTCTGGGTTTCAGCAACGACTCTTTTGTAGTGGGGGTGAAGGTGAGGTCCTTTCTGAGGTAGTGAGTAAAGGGACAAGTTGTTGTTGTCATGTGCCGTCGGTTAGGGTTTTCCAAGAGAGGCTGGTGAGTTTGAACCACTGACCTTGCGGTTTCCTTACGGTCCAGGGTTTATCCTACAGCGCCACACCAGGACTCCAAAGGGGACAGTGGGAGAGGAGACTTCTGCCATTCCCAGCCAGGGCATCCCATCCAGACTAAGATGGACTGAAAAGAAAGATCTGATGATCACCTTTTGAAACTCAGCCAGTGAACCCCCTGTGTCTCACAGCAGCAGTCTCATCACCATCAGCCCTGGGCTGCCGCAAGCCTGGGCAGCCTTGCATTCTGTTGCCACATATAGGGGCTTACTTGACGGCAGCTGACAGCAATGGTAGATGTGTGTCCAGTCCGTGTGGAAAGAGAGCAGGGCCCCCACCCAGTGATGGACTGTGTGCTGGGGGCAGGTCACTTCTCCAGGCCTCAGTTTCTGCATCCATAAGATGGGCTTCCAAGTAGGGTTTGCTTCTCAGGGCTGGTAGGGGTGCTTGAATGTAGCAAGCAGAATCTCTGCCCCAGGCCCCGCACGTGCTGAGTATTTCCTAATGCGGCTGTTAGTGTCAAGGTGGGCTTGTTTGTTTCCAGTTAATCTGGGAAAGAAAGTTCCTCTCAGAAAGGCACGCCTGAGGCTCTAGGCCCCCAGGAAGCCGAGGTGTGAGGGGCATAGAAAGGTGTTGTCTAGCTCCACCTGGACGTGGCATCATCCCTAAAACACAAGGCTCTTGCTTTGCATGGTGTTTGCCACCACAACTTGACCGAGGCCTTATTTTGGTTGACCCATTGGTAAGATACTCTTTCATGGATAGATTCCTTTCCCCTAAGGAAAAAAAGTGAGGGAGGGTGTCATCTGTGTTGTGAAAAAAGTCAAATTTAAACATTTCATGATGCTGTTGTGGTGGTTAAGTGTCATCGAGTCAGTTCTGACTCATAGTGACCCTGCATAGGGTTTCTGAGGAGTGACTGGTAAGTTTGAACCGCCGACCTTGCAGCCCAAGGCGTTACACCAGGCCTCTTATGTGACAGACAATGTTGACTTGTGGCGCTCCGTGGTATGCCAGAGTAGAAGTGGGCTCCAGAGCGTTTTCAGGGCCTTTCTAGGTG